GGTGGTTTCTTAAAAGGCACCAGGCTTAAGGCTCAGCTTGGCCCACTTACCCTTCTACTGACACCAAGGCAGGTGCCACTCTTTAAACTTCAGGATGCCTGCCTGTGACTGCTTTGCTCCTCCAGGGCGGTCCTTGAGTTTCATTTATCAACACAGTGTGATTTTTCTAAACTCAAATTGACTAGAGATGATCCTAAGAAACAAGACGCCAATCTGAGGCTTCATTTTTGTCTTGATACGACTGAGTGTCCCATGGTCATTTCAAAATGGCGCAGCAAATGACTGGAACTTGATTTCAAACGTAATGAGTAAGTTAAGACCCACATTGCCCCCAGTCAGCGTAGTGGAAAGAGCCCGCCGCTCCCACGTCTTAGGCTCTGAGGTTTTCCTCTCCCTTGGCCTGTCTGCTGCCTTCACACAGGCATTTCCCCACAGGCACCACCCAGCCCAGCGCGGTGATCCCTTTAGCTTGATACACCATCGCATACAGGAAAGTTTTCCTTCACTCCCACTTTATTCAGCCATCTTTCATCTTAATTCTCTCAACTTTAAATCATCATCATAGTTCACTTACTTATTTCTCCACTTAGTCAGAAATTTTGTACTGAGTATCTATGATGGACTAAGTCTGTGCATACACTGGTGAACAGCAGTAACAACAGAATAAATGCTCACCTTACCACAATGAAGCTTACACTCTAACGGGAGAAAGATATTCACCAAATAGCCACACAAATAAATGTAATGGGTTTGTGTGTGCAGGGATGGGATACTTTGAGAATATATAACAAGGAGCCCCAGCTTTGACTTGGAAATCACCAGAAGAATAAGTAGAAATTAACTAAGCAAAGAGTGAAGAGAGGCAGGGTGTGCCAGGCAGGGTAACAGGATGGGAACTGGCCCTGGAGTAAGAAAATCATGGCACATAGAGAAATGGAAAGGAGGCCAGTGCGGCCGATGACTGGAGAATGATGTAGGATGAAGTGAAGAAGCTGACAAGGGCCAGACCACACATGTGAGGACTTTGGTCTTTATTCTAAGAGCCATGGGAAGACATGAAGGATACTTACCACAAGGGATAACACACCAAGGGTTTGATTTCAAGAACATCACTCTTTCTACTGTATAGAAAATAGATTAGGTAGAGACAAGAGAGGATGCTACAAAGTTGTAGTGGCACTTTAGGAAAGAGCTGTTGGGAGTCTGGACCAGGTAGATGGTGCTATGAATGAAAGAAGTGTATGAGCCAGGAGCTAATTATAGAGGAGAGAGGAAGGACTTGGCAATGGGCTGTGTAAAAGGGGAGAGGACAGTGTCAACGGATGCTCCCAGGGGTTGGGGGATTGTTAAACTAGACGTATGGGGGAAATAGTCACTGAGAAATGGAGCAACAGAAGAGAAACAGGTTTGTCTGGGGGTTTTGTTTTGTCTTGTCTGAGTCATGGTGATGCAAGTTTAGATTGTAAATTTGGTTTTGGACAGGTTACACTTTAAGTGCCTTTGAGACATACAAAGGGAGATGTCAGGAAAACAGTTAAATATAAAGATCTAGAACAGTGGCTCTCAAACCAGGGGCAGCTTTGCTCCCCAGCGGACATTTACCAAAGTCTACAGAGATTTTTGGTTGTCACAGAGGGGTGTAGGGTGCTACTGACATCTAGTGAGTAGAGACCAGGGACGCTGCCAAACAATCTGCAGTGCACAGGACATCTCCACCCCTCACAGCAAAGGGCTGTCCAACCCAGAACGTCAGTAGTGCCAACGGTGAAAAACTCTGGTCTACAGATATTTGAGAGTCACTGGCCAAAAAGCCTTAGGCACTGATGAGATCATATAGAGAAAGAATAAGAGCAAGAAGGAAAATGGGATAGTGCATATTTCTGAGGAACTCTTAACACTTAATAGTGCAATAACGCAGCATGAGAGACCGAAAAAGAGCAGCCTGAGAGGTAGAAGAAAACAGAGTGCAGTCCCCGGAGCCAGGCGTTGGGTGGGGACTGATTAAATGTGTCAGATACTGTTGAGAAGCAGAAGGGAAGGAGGACTAGAAAGCTGCGTTGCATTTAGGGATGTGGACGTCACTGGTGACCTTGGCAAGAGCACTTTGGCAGCACGATGTTAAGAAAAGACATGTTTCAGGGGGAGATGAAAAAATGGAGTTGGCTGGTGTAGACAAGACTTTTAAGAAGCTTGGCGATGGAAGGGAGGAGGGAGAAAGAGCCATCTTGGCAAGGAATTTGGAAGTCAGGAACAGTTTGGGGTTCAGTGGTGTTTTTTACTGTTTTTTTTTTTATTATGGAAAATGTCTAACATATATAAAGTAAGAGGAATATTGTCAGGGACCTCTCTGTACCCTGGGTTCTCTGAACTCTGGATTGTTTTGTTCCTCAGAAGAGTAATTTCTGTTCTAGGAAGGAGTTAACTTGGCTGGACTCAAATTCCAAACCGACCCTTCTCACTGGCAGCAGTTGAAATCTCTGCTTGGTTCTTTCAGCCTCCAGCGGCAGCTCTTTTGGGCCAGGCCCTTGGGTGTGCACAGTTGAATGGTCAGCCAGTGACTTGAGCGGGTTTTATACACAGACCTGGAAGTTCATCCTCTCTGAATCTCCTCCCCTCCCAGAATTTTCCCCTTCATATCCTGACTGCTCTTCCAGCTGCAACTCACTTCTCTGACACCTCAAGCTAGTAAGACTTGGGCTTTCTGCTACTCCAGATTGCTTGTGGATTAGACCGCCCTCACGCAGAAAGCTGAAAATCTCAAGAAGTATAACTCCTGCTTTCAAAGGTAGATTCCTTTGCAGTTTCTGCCTCTTTTGAGCCAACCTCCATAGCCTTAGTTAATGAAATATATATCTCCAAATTTTTTAGCATAACAATAACAAATTATTTTAAAAATTAATCATTTTATCAATGTTACCTGCATAAAAGGTATTCTATCCACATCACTCTGTCATTACCAGAAGCCAGAAGTTTCTAAGATGATAGACTTAGGCATATTTTAGTGCTGATGGATAATTAATAGAAAATCTAGTAGAGAGAATGACAGAAGAGGTATAATCAACAGTGCAAGGCTCTGTAGTTTTCATTGGAACAAGAGGAACAAAGGGGTTGGCTATGGATGCAGAAGCTTGTAGATTCGCTGGTGGGAAACTGACAGAAATGCTTCCTGTGACATCAGAGACAAGGTCATTAGGGCAGTGGGAGGTGGGGGGAAAGGTGAGGCAGTTGGAGGTTTGAGAACACAGAAATTTTAAACAGTCTTTGCAAAGAGTGAAAAGAGTGAATTTTGACCAGAGAGACACTAGAGGAATGAACAGAAGCTGGTGAGCACTGACAGTTTCCATGGGTTGAGAGTGACGAATTTATGTTGGTGCCCATCAGTCTGCCCTGACTGCCCTGGTAAGATTGTCTCCATCTGCCTTCAGCGGCCCTGGTGGAGATGCACAGGGAATAGAAAGAGGGTTTCCTCAGGGGTGAGAGTTTTACAAGACTGGTGAGACCAAAGAGCAGGGCCATGGGTGTTAACAGTACTGACAGGGGAATGTTTTAAATAAAGGGTCACACTAGGTAAAGAAGATGTGGTATATGTATACAATGAAATACTACTCAGCCATAAAAAGGGTGAAATAGCACCATTTGCAGCAACATGGGCGGACCTTCACTTACTTCTAAGTGAAGTAAGCCAGAAAGAGAAAGAAAAATACCATATGTTATTGCTGATATGTGGAATCTTAAAAAAAAGGGACATAAATGAACTTATCTACAAAACAGATTCACAAACATAGAGAACAAACTTATGATTACCAGGGGGCAGAGTGGGTGGGAAGGGATAAATTGGGAATTTGAAAATTGCACCTCTTGGGGAGTGATGGAAATGTTAGCTATCTTGATTGTGGTGGTGGTTTCATGGGTGTAGACATCTATCAAAATTCATCAAATTGTACATCTGAAACAAGTGCAGTTTACTGTACAGGAACCATACCACAATAAAGGTGTTAAAAAAAAAAGAGGTCACGATATCCAAGCACCTCATGAAGCCATGACAAATGTTTTTTGAAAGTGCTCTAGGATTTAGCCAGGGCTCTGAGAACTGGGAATTACTCTCCTCAACCCTCTCTCACTGGCAAAAACAGATTGAGCATTTGACCCCAGGTACTTCACAAGTAAAAGGAGCCTCTCTCTTGGGTGTGCTGGAACAAAAAAAAAAGGAAAAGAAAGAAGTGACACAAACCCCACGCCATCCCCTGCACCACTCGCACCTCCCCACCCCAGGTACCCATCTTCTCTCACCGTTGATCCCAGCACAGAAGATTCAGAGCCACATACTTAGGTCTAAACATTAAAAGTTCTAAGATAAGCTGATAAACTGTTAAGTAAAATATGTGTCATCCTCCTACCTTTGCAAGTATATCTCTGTGCTGGTCTGAAGACCAAGTTTGAGTCTAGAATTCTCAGACTCCAGAAGTCCAGAGAAAACTGGCTCACAGCTGGAAGCCTACCCCTCTGCCTGTGCCCAGCTCCGTCCCCCACTGCGAGGGCCATGTGTCTGTGCATTTAGACGCTACAACCTGCGATCCAAGCTCCAGACATAGCCCGAGGCTTGGGGACCCACTCACCGCAGTGTGGTCTTTCCTTGGAAGGAGGGACCCAGAGGAGAGGCCCATACTGCCCCTGAAAGCAGCCTTGGGGCCACACAGTCAGAGAATTCTAGGGTCCTATGTACCTGGTTTAGAGGGAGGAAGTGGGGGGCGCAGGCTGTGGTGAGCACAGGCTCCAGATGGGTACATTCCACGGCCCTGTGGACCCCTTGCCCTGTGGAGAGGAGCAGTTGGAGGAAAACCAGAGCAGGGCTCTCCCAGCTGTTGGGGCTTAGGGGAGGGACCCCTTTGGCCCAGGTCTGTGGGCAAAATTAAATGATGCAATGATACACAGGACTTGTGGCCTTTGCTCTTTCCTGGTCTGACTGGTTTCTCTGTGTGTATGTGTTTTATTTTTCCCAGTGGGCTCTTTATCACCATTCATGACAAGGGCCATCTTGCAACAATGCTGAACTCTTGGCCAGAAGATGATATTAAGGTATGATCCTGTTTTCTTTGCTATTGCTCGATTGTTGGATGAATCCTTTCAGCCTGGGCTAGAGTCATTCTCAGCTATAAAATGGGCCATTACAACACTGAAGGCAAGACCCTGCCTCCCTTCCCCAGGCCCAGACCATGGACCAGTTCCAGCCAAGCACAAATGTACCACGGAGTAAAAGATTGCATTAACCAGGCACCCACGTAAAATTTTATTATTACTATTATTACTATTATTATTATTATTATTATTATTATTATTACTAATAGTAGTAGTAGTAGTAGTGCATAGATTGAGTATCTTCTCAGTATACACTGCTAGTTTCCAAGGAGAATGCAGGGAAAAATCAGACGTAGACCCTCTTCTCAAGTAGCTGACTTTTCATGAGGAAACTAAGAGCCACAAAAAGACTAAGAAGTGGAACTTGATCAGAGATAAACGGGGCACACAGAAAGAGCTGGGGATATTCAGAGATGCAGAGATCACTCTTAGCCTGAGGGGAATCTGGGAAGACTTCATGGGAGAGGTGACACTGGAGCAAGACCTTGAATTGAGGGGTAGAGTTTGGACAGTTAGGTATTGGAGAATCTAGATGGAGGGCAGGGACCTTCTGCACCAAGAGAAGTTTATCCAAGAGAAGAAGTTTATGATGAACAGTATCTTCACAGCTGTGTGTACACAGCTGTGTGTGTTCAGCAGGGAGAAGGGGTGTGTATACAGAGTGACAAAATGAACCTGACACTTTTTCCTGGAGCATTGATTTTACTTAGAACATTTAAGGAGAAAATATTTTTTATATAACAAACAAGATGTAATATAGAATGTCAAACTGGTGCAACTTTGTGGAAACTTGTTAGCCTCTGACCACATCCTCAGATCTTGTCCTGTATAAGGACTTCTATGGAAGAGTTTGAAGGACTCTGGCATCTAAGACCACTGTCACTTCTGTAGACAGAATGGGTGAAGCAGAAATGTAGAACATCGGCTGGCTGCTTGATGAGGGCGTTTCCAGCACACGAGCAGGGGAGGGTTGGAGCTGACCAAGCCCAGTGTATGTGCCTCTCCGGGCGATGCTGGGAGCTGAGACACTCCACCTGTGGTTTGCTGTCCAGGCCCTCCCTCTCTCTGTCCCTGCCAATTCCCTGAGCCACCTCTCCCCAGCAGGCACCGAGGATAGCTTCTCTCTACCTACCTCTCTTTGTGACCCACCCGCTTCTGGCCCTCTTAGGGGCATAGTGGCGTTCAGAACCACAGTCCGCAGGGCAGGACCTTGGCTCTCAGGATCCAGTCCTGGCCTCAGTGAAGAGCTCAATTCGTACATCTCTGTCTGGGTGTGATGCGCCCTCTGCTTTCTTTCCTGCTTACCTGCTTACACTCCAGTTACATGCAGGCCATGGCCTTGCAGGTTTTGGTCCCAGTCCCAGAAGAAGCAGATTTCTAGGGTGTGTCTAGGGTGAATCTGTAATAAAATCTTGAGCACATTAAGGGAAGCCAGCTCGCTCAGTGGGAAGTTAACTCCAGCCTGCCCTGTGTGGACATGCTGCTGACGTCTGACACGCTGATCTTTCCACCTTTCTGACAGTTCAGCCATGGTGAAACTTGTCCATAGTAGGCGCTCAGTAGGTGCTTGCTGAGTTGAGTGAACTCAGTTGATGGACATGATAAACCATCTTCTAGGTACCAGGCACTGGGTCGGGAACAGAGGTGGGGTCTGCACTAACATGTGTGGGGCCTCTGTGCAGGCTACTGGGAGGGAAAAAGAATGATGAAAAGACATCCCCACTTAACCAGTAAGAAAAAGGCGCTTCTTCCTCCAGGCTGGCCCAGGGGCTTGGAAAGGGGCTTACAGGCTGGATTACAGAGCACAGCTTACAAAACTGTACCCAGGGCTTTACTTCGAGGAATGCAGAATGAAAAAAAACACAGACCCTGACCCCAAGTTGCTTCACTCCAGTTGGGAAACCAAGATATGAATTCAAAATAGAATCTCAGCTGCTATCCACTGACTTGAACCCGCATATTTTGAGAGCCTTCCAAGTACTAAGTGCGGATTACCAGAGAGATGGAGACAGCACCTGCTGTGATTTTCGAGGAAGAGAAGGAGGGGCTTTGGGGTCACCCTGGAAGAGGTGGGACTCAAGCAGACCTCAGACAGAGCAAGGCGTTCAGAGCCTCTAGGAAAAGCATAAGTTATGTGAACAGATCTGGGCTGGTGCATCTAACTCAGTAGTGGTCAGCAACCATTAAGGAAATGCCTATTCCGTAAGACTTCCCTGGGAGGTTGGGGATAGAGAGGGTGTACAGGCCCAACCTCAAGGAGCTCGCAGTCTAATTAGAGAGACTGGCCCAGAAACAATTCCAGTAGACTGTGTCTGTGCTGCCGAAGAGAAGAGCCCGGGGACAAGGGGCAAATGGGGTGACTGGCTGACCACTCAGCCTGCAGTACCCCAAACTGGACCAGTGAATGCCTGGGGCCACCTCCTCCCCTCCACCCTTTACCCTCATTTCACTTTGAGACACTCAGAGGTCAGTCTCAGAAACTATGGCAAAGAATCTTCTCTGGCTTTGCAGTCAGACAGGTCTGGGTTCTGGTCTTGAATCTGCCGTTTACCTGCTGTGTGTGCAGATAACCTCTCTGATCTTTGTTTTTCGGTTGTGAGGGTTTCCTGCGATGAAGTCTGTACAACATTGAAGGACACGGACATGGCCATTGCTGGGAGTGGGCGAGGCAGCTGTAGCGCACACAGCAGTCCAGGGAAGAGACGGCAGGGGCCTAAGAGCACCTGGAATCACAGGCCGCAGAAGGGC